CCCCCCAATATTTCCAAATTATCTCTTGTCTCTTCTCTTTCATTTGTGTGCGGCTCCTCTTCCAGATCGTGAACCCTGAACCACGTGGGACGTGGGGGAAATAAACATACACAAGTCTCTTAAATCTCTGTATATTATTCTTTATTTCAGTCAGTGTATTCTTTTTTTTTTTTTTAAATATATTTTATTGATTTTTTGCAGAGAGGAGGGGAGAGTGATAGAGAGTTAGAAACATCGATGAGAGAGAAACATCGATCAGCTGCCTCCTGCACATCTCCTACTGGGGATGTGCCCACAACCAAGGTACATGCCCTTGACTGGAATTGAACCTGGGACCCTTCAGTCCGCAGGCTGACACTCTATCCACTGAGCCAAACTGGTTTCGGCAGTCAGTGTATTCTTAATTTCTGTCTGATCCTTTTCCATTTATTTTTGGCATTCTCACTAAGTTCCTCGGAGGTCTCACTAAGTTCCTTGGAGGCTTCTAGAACATTCTTGAGTAACCTTATAACTGGTTTTGAACTCTATATCCAGTATTTTGCTTTCTTCCATTTCTTTCATTTGTGACATGTTTCTTTGTCTCCACATTTTGGCTGCTTCCCTGTGTTTGTTTCTATGTATTGGGCAGCTGCTAAGTCTCCTTGAGTTGATAGAGTGGCCTTGTGTGGTAGGTGTCCTATAGGGCCCAGTGGCTCGGCCTCCCCCATCACCTGAGGTAGACATTCTTGGTGCACCCCTTTGTGGGCTGTGTGCACAGTCTTGTTGTAGTTGAGCCTTGATTGCTGTTGGTATCACTGGGAGGAATTGACCTCCAGGCCAGTTGGCAGTGAGGACCAGCTGTGTCTACAATGGAAGAGCTGCTGTGCAGGGGACACTCTTATGGGAAAGGTCTTGCTTCAGTGGGGCTTTGGTGCTTACTGAGTCTGCCCCTTGAGTGTGTCACTTATGGATGTGAAGAGTTGTAATCTGGTATGGTCTCACACTGACAACTGGCTACACTTGCTCTTGGATCTCCAAGGAGGTGCAAAGTCAGCCTCTGCCTGGAGTCACCCAGCAGGAGCTACAGAGAGATCTGCAGATTCCTCCTCTTTGTATTGGATTTGGAAGTGCCCAGACGAGACCCAGCTGTGAAGTAAGGCAGGCTGCTGCTGCCGGTCTTGGGCCTTCTTTTAATAGCTTTGGGGCTCCCTGACCCAGCTGCTGCCTGTTTGACAGGTTTTAGGCTGAGAAGGAACAAGCCATTCATATGCAAAAGCCACTGCACACAGTTTGGGTGTGGTTGTAAATTGGGTGGGGCGCCTGGTGATCTCAGGGAATCACCAGGGGGGAACAAACAGTAATGGCTGTCAGTTAGCCCTGCGCCTTTGAGGTTCCAGTGCAGGAACAATGACCATTGCAAGCACCTCTGTCAGTCTCAATGCGCTTTCTTCACCTCTCCAGTTATAGTACTTCCACTCAGCCAGTTTTCCTGTGGTTCTGGGTGATAGTTGTAATTTTGATGTGGTTGTGAGAGGCAGCAAGTACAGGTGTTGCCCTTTGCTGCCATCTTGGTTCTCCCCCATTTATTGTATTCTTCATTTCTGATTGGTTCTTGTTTGTTTTCTATCTTCTTTTTTAAACCTTTATTATTGAGATTATTACAGATGTCCCCCTTTTCCCCCCAATTGCCCCCCTCCACCTGGTTCCCACTGTGCCCCAAGCCTTCACCACCCTATTGTCTGTTTCCATACATAATGCATATCTACATTAATAAAAGACAAAGATGCTAATTGACTGTAGCTTTGCCACGCCCACCAGCCAATCAGAGTGACTATATGCAAATTAACCCAATCAAGAGGCAGCCAGCAGCCACGGAGCTGGAGCAAGCAGGAAGCTTGGTTGCCCCGGCGATGGAGGAAGCCAAGCTTCCCGCCTGCTCTGGCGGGCTGTGGCCTCCACAAAAGGCAACAAAGTTTCAATTATAGAAGCTAAATAAATCCCAAATACCTGCTTCCAGCCAGCCTCCAATGGAGCTTGGGTGGCTGGGGGCTGTGGCCAGCCTGCAAACAGCCATCAGCCTCTCACCTAGGCTGGCCAGGGACCCCAGCAGGACCGTCCACCCTGAAGGGGGTGTGGCCAGCCTGAAAACGGCCCTCAGCCCCTCACCCAGGCTGGCCAGGCACCCCAGTGGGTCCCCCACCCTGATCTGGGACACCCTTCAGGGCAAACCAGCTGGCCCCCCCCCATGCACCAGGCCTCTATCCTATATAATAAAAGGGTAATATGCAAATTGACCCTAACAGCAGAATGACTGGTCA